GGGTAATACTTTAAAAAGAAATTGAGTAAGATGAATTTTATGTTTATTTAGAATATTTAAAAAATAATTATTTATTTATTAATATAAAAATTTATTTTTCAGTTATATTTTTGGTTTTGATTTTCAAATCCCCTAACCAATAGCCAACCAATTTTTTTTATTATAACCAAGACCCAAAAAAATAAAAACCAGTTATGTCTTACTATTTGCAAAAATCATTTGGTTAACCAACCATGTGCCGACCCCTAAATGATGTTATTTAAATGGGACGGTGATTGATGTATCCATCTATTCAACACCCAATAAAAATATATAAATATATAAATAGGCTAGTTTAGGAATGTGATGTGAGTATACTTATCTTTGCATCCATTCATCCAAATATTGTCTATTCATGTTTCCAAACAAACACCAACAAGAAGACCCATTTTATTTTATTTTATTTTGAACAAGGGCAATTACAAGGGGAAGGGGGAAGGGGTAAGGGAATGGACTTAACCCATGAGCTGGAGAAGCACCAATAGCCAATAGGCCAAGTGGGAATATACAAGTGGTTGGTGGGAATCAAACTCCCAATCAACTTTACCCAAATATTAAGATTTGAGGACAAATCATTAGACCCTAAATAACCAGTTCAAACACCCAAAATTTTTCCACTTTACTTTTGCATCATCCTTTTTGAAGGATCATCATTTCCTTGTCTCTGCACTAGATGGCAGTGGTTGGTGGGTGAGAGGCATAAGCAATTTCCTCTTATTCCACCAATGAAAAGATAGATTACACATCCTAACATTTTTTTTTTCAAATTTTTTATTTTTACTTAGTGGATTAGGAAAAGAAATCATGGATTTCAATGAAAAACTTGAAGGGTGATTTTGAAATCTTTTTGGGGCATTTTTGTTCCTTTCAGTGGCCAGGCATGGTCTAGTATCGAGTACATTGTCCTTGATGGTGCATGTGAAGATGTGACTGTAGTGTGGAGGGTCGATGCCGAAGGGAGGGCCATCATAGAAGATGTACTCAAGATAGTTCTTGGTGCGCTTGAGTTGGGCTTAAAGGCACCAATTTAATTGTAGTACACTACACTCAACATTCTTAAAAGTGTTCTTTCATATATGAAAATTTTCAATTTTTCAATAATTTTTTATTAGATCTAGTTATTGGATCTAATGTTATTGTGAATCCTGATCTTCATTCTCATCTTCCTATTGTTGGTGGGAAATAGAGAGTTACAGTGTTTTGGATGCACTTTGTTCTAATTTTGGGTTTTGGTTGAGATTTAGAATATGCGAATTGGTGGTCTTGTGAACAAAATTGAGAAATTATTTGAATTGGAGATGGAGTAATCACCATAAAAGGAGAAAATTAGCTAGAAAGAAATGTGAAACCCAGATTGGAATCTTAGTTTTATGCTGTAGAAGATGTCTTCTTTAGCAATAAACCCAAATTTTGATCTAGGCTCTTTGAAAAGATTGGGAGAGGGGTAAGTGTTGGAGTCGGTTGAATTTAGAGGTGTCAAAATTAGGTTCATGAGGAATTTTCAAGGTGCAAATGGATGTCAAACGATAGACCCAATAAGTAAGGAATAAGTTTTTAACCCTTGAGAAACTCTATTAAACTATATTTTATTTATTGAACAAAAGGTGTTCAATTGAATTTGCCAGTTAAGGGGGTAAACATATTATTTCCCTACTTAAATGACTATTTTATTGGTGCATATGGTTTAAAGGGTTTTTGCAAAAAAAAAAAAAAAAAATCTAAAGAGTTTAAACTATTAATTAACTATTAATTATAATTTTTATGAGTGATAAAGAAGATATAAATTTATAAGAAATTAGTATTTTTTAGTTGGATCTATAAAAAAAAGTAAGTAGAAAACACTCAAAAATATGCCCTTTCAATAAAATATCATGAAAATAAATTGCAACAATCTCATTTTTGTTTTAAAGATTAAACTTTTTCAGTCTTTTTTTTTTTATAAAAATTTATTAAAACCACATAATTTTAAGATTTTTAACTTAATTTTTTACAAGAATAATTGATAAATATTTTTCTCAATCTATAGTGTATATGATATTTGGCTAAGTCAATGGGGTTTTGTTTCGCTATATATTTAGTTGTATCAATAATGGTAGCAGTCAAAACATCCAATGCGAAACAAATTGGAAAGGAATTGACATTAACAATGATACAATATTAGGATAATAGTAAAAAAAGTGTATATATATTAATATTATTATATTTTTATCAACTAACAAAACAAAATTTATATTAAATAAGAGTACAAGGGGTGCTCAATTTTATTATGAACATGACTCAAAATTCTCTCAACACGCAAAATAATTAAATCATAAACACATAAATCTGAGCTAAATCATATTACGTGATCCTGTACTTGTCTTGCTTTCTTCACAACATATATAACATGCGTGCGCACGTTATGAATCAAGTAAATTTTGATTCATAATGCATAAGCGTAATTTGATTTAGGGATTTCAACTTTCCTCCAAAACCCTTATTTTTAGAAGGGAGTAATACCATATGAGGCTTGAAAGCAAGCATTCTTGACAAACATTATTAGGAGCTTTAATTAGATACAATGCTGTCTCGTACCAATCCAAGAATGCATAAACAAAGAATTGACAGCCCAATAAGGCAAGGTTCATATGACGAAACCATTTTACAATAAATGCACATGCACTGTGCTGTTCCTGGATAAAGTCCATATCCTTTGTACACGTAATGCTGCCCTCTAAACCAATCTTCCATTGAATTCACATGCACTAAATCTCGCATATCTTTTGCATCTATGAATATACAATCTCCAAACTTACTTGTCTAAGAATTGATGGTTTCAGCTTCTTCTCTTCTTATTATAAAAATGAGGAAATTAGTATCTAGAGCATACTTCCTAGACCAGAAAATCCAAACATAGTACCAAGACTTTTGAAGCAAAGAGACTGAATGAATATAGAAGCCATTCACTTTTTGATTTTTGAATGGATAGAAAGGTCACTTTAACCAAATTGAGACTAAGATTTAAGATCCTAAATTTGAGCTCCATATTTCTTTACCTTGTCAGCCAAACAACCAATAAAAAGGGGAAAAATAAAAATGTTGAAATTAACCCAGTAGCTGGCAACATAGTTGAGATGACAACTTACAAAAAGATCATAAATGCTAAAATTCAAATCTTGTAATTAACAACATAGTTGAGAAGTTAAAATCACTTATAAAATAAAAATCATTAGAAATATGTGAAAGACGTACTTGAAGAAAGGTTTTCTTTTCTTCTTTTTTTTTTTTGGGCACAGAAGGTATTCCAAGTTTGGTTGAGTTACCTACAACGACTATAATAATAATTCTTCTAAATTTGTTAAAAAAAGAACTTTTTACAAAGAATGTATCACCACTATGTGAGGAATAAGGATTTCCCATAAAGTTTCAAAAACTTGTTACTAAGAATTTATTAACCTGCGCGCACTATTTGGGATGAGGGCGAGCAAATTTTGGGAATAAAGGGACGCTAAATTTGTGGTACTTAAATTAAACTTGTGTTTATAAAATATAATTTTTTCTTATCTATTTTAACTGTGTTAATTTGATTTTTGCATAAAGTTTGATTTATTATTTTATTAGCAAACTGATGACAACCAAAATTTTTTTTTCTTCCTAAATATAGTCTATTGAATATTTTCACTTAGATCAAACATAGTGTCTATTGAATAATTTGTTTATAGTAAAATTATTAAATTAATTAACATAAAGTTGATGAAATTGAGTAACTAAAAAGAACCAAATGGAGTAACATATAATTGTAAAGCTGTAAATTTGTGTTTAAAATAGAAGTTTAGCATATTCAATGTGAAAATATTATCTTTTGAAAATTTTGGTAATTATTGAATAACTATCTAACGGTGTTTGTGGGAAAAAAATATACTAAAAAAATCTAAATAATGGAATAAATTTAGAAACATATAAAAAATTTATATAGGAAATGATAAAATAAAACAAATAGATTTGACTTAATAAAAAAGTTTAAGTTATATGTGAAGTTTTAATATTTGACTTTAAAAAAAAAAGATATTAGTAGTTAAAATGAATATTTTAAACTAACTTTTGGCATTACAAAGATGATAATCTAAGCGTTTTTTGAGAAATTGAAGAGAAATGTTAAAAGATTAAAGATTTTCTAAAAGGTCATGTTTATAGTTAATAAATTAGCCTTAAAATGTTACTAATTATTGTGTCAACATTTCACTTTAAATATAATGACAAGTTTTACAAAAGAGTAACGATAATTATTTTCATAACTATTAACAATAATTAAATGAATAGAATAAAATTTAAAGATAAAATTCTTAAAATATAAAATTTGTGGACTAATTTAAAATTTTTTCAAAAGATCAGGGGGGTATGAATAATTGAGAAATAAGAAACAAAAATAGTCTTTATATTATTAAACAAGTTTATAACCTATGTGATAGGATTCAATGTTCATATATATTGAGCCAGTATGTTAGGAGGTGTATTGAGTAGAAAAATATCACATTGAAAATATAAGAAAGAAACATATATATTAAATACAAGAAAAGCTAATTCACTAATTATTAATTGGTTTTAAGTTGAATGCAAATATTGTATTAAAGTTCATATCCATAATTTCCTAAAAATTTACCCAATACATTTACATGGTGAATTGGGTAACAAAATAATAGAACATTTTCATAAGTTCTCACAATCTTTATTTTAAATTGTACT